GCCTTATATGTTATTTTCTCCAATTACATGTTTGTTGCCAACTCCTTTAACCATCTCCCTATACTTGGTGCCTCTACCTTTTTCCAGTGAGACGTTTAACTTGTAGAGTACATATATAAACAAAAATATTTTCTCTTCTTCTCAATTTAAGGTTATTAGGATAAAAATTTAATATAAAAAAAAATTGGTTCAAGGGGAATAGTAACATTAATTATTTTACTTATCAAAGTTTGCACTCCCTTCCAGAATTTCAAGATCTCTTCACACTCCCATACACAATGAAAGAAAGTACTGTACCTTTACATAAATTACATTTAGGACATACAGTATGTCTGTGATATTTTCATGAAATGTATTTAATTATATTGTAGTAGTTTCAATCTTGTATTAATAGTTTGCATCTGAGCATCTCTACAGGCCTCTCTACAATCATTCATTGAGATCTCCTCATTGAGGTCCTTCCTCCATGCCTCTAAACGAGAGTTGCAGACTCCTGAGATCCTTCTACAAACGTTATAAAAGTGGAATCAAACCTTTACTATTACAATTTTTGGTGATTTCCTTTTCCAAAATGGATAAAGGGGATTATATATTATTTTAAAATAAATTATATATTTTAAAACTGTATTTACTTATTTATATTACCCAAATAAATAAACAATCAAGCAAGCTCTAATTAAAATGACTATAAGGATATATAGAGAGATATTGATAATATACTGTTGGTTCACAGTTATGATAGAGTGGCTACATAAAAGGGCTTGACAAAACAAATTGAATAGTGTAACGGGGCGAACGAGACGAGAGACGTGCGGATCCATCTGCAAAGCTTTATTCTTAAACATAGTCAAAACAGGCAAGGGTCGGACAATGGCAAACAGGTATTTAGAGGGCAAGACAGAAGAGTGATCCTATAAACAGGCATAGGTCGATCAACGGCAAACATAATCCATAGGATGAGGTAGGCTAGAGCCCTGCACGGGCCTCAAATTTAGGCCCTAGCCCGGCCCTGGCCCGAGACGCTCAGGCCCTAGCCCGACCCGGGTCCGACAGCTTATCAGAATTACCGGGCCGAGCCCGACCCGAGGACGTCTTTTTTCCCCTTCTCCCAAAACAGCTTATACTACCGTTTCAGCTATTAAAATAGTTAAGTTTTGTATGTAATAGCAAAGTGATTATATTTTTTTTTCGTTTTTTTATGAAGTTAATTTAAAAAAACGTTTGGAGCATTTTTTGTTCGTTAAATATAAGTTTTTGTTTTTTTAAAGTAACGACCAAGCGGCCAGCGGCAGACAGTGAGCCTATGTTTAATCAATTTAGCCTTCTCAAATCATCACGACTTGCCTAAAATAAAATCTATAGATATAAAACAGTTCAAGCATATAACAATGTTTAAACGTTAAACCTAGATAAATGTGCGCTATACCCAATAGTTTGTGCGGAGAGTGGAAGCTAAAGCGCGCTTTGCCGGACATGGAGGCGCCAGCGCGATCACTTGCGTTTTTTTCAGTGGATACGCCGTCATTTTTGCTCATAAAGGTAAGAGCAATACATCATTCGTAGCTGTAAAGGGTCTACTTTTATTTGTGTGCACTCACAATATCAACAAAACCTTGTGCTTTT